CCAAAACAGATATATAGACCAATGGAACAGAAGAGAGGCCTCAGAAATAATACCACTCATCTACAACCATCTGATCTTTGACTTGACAAAAACAAGCAATGGGAAAAGGAATACCTATTTAATAAATGGTATTTGGAAAACAGGCTAGCCATATGCAGAAAACAAAAACTGGACCCTTCCTTACACCTTATAGAAAAATTAACTCAAGATGGATTAAAGAGTGAAACATAAGACCTAAAACCATAAAAACCCTAGAAGAAAACCTAGGCAATACCATTCAGGACATAGGCATGGGCAAATACTTCATGGCTACAACACCAAAAGCAACAGCAACAAAAACCAAAATTAACAAATGGGACCTAATTAAACTAAAGCGCTTCTGCACAGCAAAAGGACCTATCACCAGAGTGGACAGGCAACCTACAGAATGGGAGAACACTTCTGCAACCTATCCATCTGACAAAGGGCTAGTATCTAGAATCTATATAAAACTTAAACAAATTTACAAGAAAAAACAACCTCATCAAAAAGTAGGTGAAGGATATGAACAGACACTTCTGAAAAGAAGTCATTCATGTGGCCAACAAACATATGAACAAAAGCTCGTCATCAGTGGTCATTAGATAAATGCAAATCAAAACCACAATGAGATACCATCTCACACCGGTTAGAATAGTGATGATTAGAAAGTCAGGAAACTGGGAGGCCAAGGCCGGCAGATCACATGGTCAAGAGATCGAGACCATCCTGGCCAACATAGTGAAACCTCATCTCTACTAGAATATAAAAATTAGCTGGGCATGGTGGTGCACATCTTTAGTCCCAGCTACTCAGGAGGCTGAGGCAGGAGAATTGTTTGAACCCAGGAGGCGGACGTTGCAGTGAGCCGAGATCTCGCCCCTGCACTCCAGCCTGGCACCTGGCAACAGAGCAAGACTGTGTCTCCAAAAAAAGGAAACAACAGATGCTGGAAAGGATGTGGAGAAATAGAAACACTTTTACACTGTTTGTGGGAGTGTAAATTAGTTCAACCATTGTGGAAGACATTGTGGCAATTCCTCAAGGATCTAGGACCAGAAATACCGTTTGACCCAGCAATCCCATTACTGGGTATATACTCAAAGGATTACAAATCATTCATTCTACTATAAAGACATATGCACACATATGTTTATTGCAGCACTGTTCACAATAGCAAAGACCTGGAACCAACCCAAATGCCTGTCAGTGATAGACTGGATAAAGAAAATGTGGCACATATACACCATGGAGTACTATGCCACCATAAAAAAGGATGAGTTCATGTCCTTTGCAAGGACATGGATGAAGCTGGAAACTGTCATTCTAAGCTAACTGACACAAGAACAGAAAACCAAACACCACATGTTCTCACTCATAAGTGGGTGTTGAACTATAGAACACATAGACACAGGGAAGGGAACCTCACACAGTGGGACCTAGGGGCTAAGGGAGGGACAGCATTAGAAGAAATGCCTAATGTAGATGACAGGTCGATGTGTGCCGCAAACCACCATGGCACATGTTTACCTATGTAACAAACCTGCATGTTCTGCACATGTGTCTTAGAACTTAATTAAAACTAAAAAAATTTTGTCAGAAACATTTTTTCCTGTCATTTTACTTTTAATCTTTCTGTACTTCTGTTACCAGTTTATTGGAAGACATTTTTATTTCTTTCAAACAACATGACAGATTCTGTCTTTGACATGTTTAAATCATTTTTGTTCCATTTCTAATATGCAGGGCTTTTGTTTACCCTTTCACTTATCACTTTTTTTTTTTGGCTGTTAAATGTTTTTTCTTTATGTTTTCCTTTTTTGTTTGTTTTCCTATATTTCTCACTCAATTTTTTTCCTCTAGGGATTAGAAGGTTATATTCCCTGTTTCTGTTCTTTGGTGATTATCCTTGAAATGGTATCCCATATACTATTCTTAAGTTAATGTCTTCACTCTAGGCTTAGAGTGATATAAGGACTTGGGAACACTTGAGCTCCAGTCACCCCCCGTTTGATTTCCTTGCTATACATTTTCAGTTTTTCAGCTCTCTACACATTTAATATTACTGATTATGTTGTTATTCTATCCTACTGTACTTATTTTGGGTTGTTTGTATTTTTGCTGATTAGTTCTTCCTGTATCTCAGACCTTTATTCCACGATAATTTCCTTATTCCTAAAGTACATAATTTAGAAATCACTTTGTTTTTTGAGACAGGGTCTCACTCTGCCACCCAGGCTGGAGTGCAGTGGCACAATCATAGCTCACTGCAACCCCCAAACTTTTGGGCTCAAGGGATCCTCCCATCTCAGCCTCGTGAGTAGCTGAGGCAACAGGCATGCACCACCACACCTGACTAAATTTTTTATTTTTTTAAAAACAGGGTCTCACTTTGTTGCCCAGGCTGATCTAAAAACTCCTGGTTTCAAGTGACCCTCCCACCTCAGCCTCCCAAAGTGCTGGGATTACAGGTGTCAAGCACTGTACCTGGTCTAGAACTCATTTTAGTAATTAGTAAATACTTCAGATTCTGTAGGTAGAAAATCCTCCTAGTTTTTCTTTGTCTAAAAATGTCCCAGGCCAGTGTTGGTGGCTCACACCTGTAATCCTGACACTTTGGGAGACTGAGGTGGGTGGGTCACTTTACCAGAAGTTCGAAACCAGCCTGGCCAGCATGGAGAAACCCCGTCTCTACTGAAAATACAAAAATTAGCCCGCTATAGTGGGGGGCACCTGGTAATCCCAGGTGTTCAGGAGGCTGAGGCAGGAGAATCGCTTGAACCCAGAAGGTGGAGGTTGCAGTGAGCCGAGATTGCACCACTGCACTCCAGCCTGGGTGACAGACTGAGACTTCATCTCATAAATAAATATTAAAAAATAAAAATGTCCTTAATTTGCCATCATTCTTGAAAGGAGTTTTGCTGATATCGTTCTGAGATGGCTTTCAGAATTCTGAAAATAATCCAGTCTTCTGACTTCATTCATTGCTCTTTAGAAGGTTGATTTAAGTCAAATATGTATTCCTTTGCAGATGTACTGTCTTCTAAATCTTCTCATTGTGTATGCTTTTAAAATCTTATTTGTGTGCTTCTTGCTTTTAACAACTCATAGTTTCATTACAGTGAGTATGTTAGTTGGATTTCCATTTAGTTGTTCTGCTTGGTATTTGTTTGTTTGTTTTTTCTCCCATTGTTTTTATTTTTGAGACAGGTTCTTGGTCTGTTGCCCAGGCTAGAGTGCAGTGACATGATCACAGTTCAGTGCAGCTTCAACCTCCTGGGCTCAAGTAATCCTCCTGCCTCAGCCCCTGAAGTATTTGGGACTATGGGCATGCACCACCACACCCAGCTAACTTTTTTTTATTTTTCCTAGAGACAAAATCTCACTACATTGTCCAGGCTGGTCTTGAACCCCTCAGTTCAAGTGATCCTCCCACCTCGGCCTCCCAAAGGGCTGGGATTACAGGTGTGAGCCACTATGGCCAGCCCCACTTGGTATTTGTTTTTCTTCCTGTATCTTAAATCAGTTCGGAAAATCTCTCAGTTACTATATCTTCATATTATTGCTTCCCTTCCTCTGTCTTGTGTTTCTGAAATTCCTATTAGACGTATGTTAGACCTTCTCGCTTTGCTCTATTTCTGCACCTTCTCTCATGTTTTTTTCTTCTTAGCTCTCAAGCTATATTCTAGGCAATTTGTTTAGATTTATACCTCAGATATCATATATACACTCTTCAGATGCATATAGCCATTTGTTGCACCTACTCAATGAATATTTTTGTTTCAACAAATGTAGCTTTCATTTTTGAAGATGTAATTGCATCCTTCTTCAAATCTATCAAGTCATTTTATGTAGTTTCTTGTCTCCTACCGGTATTTTGGGGACTTTTTACCTTTCTAAAACAGTTATTCTATATTTTCTATCCTTTAATTCTAATATCTCAAGTCCCCAGCAGGTCTATTCCCACATGACAGTTTGTTTCTTTGTGTTTGATTTTTCTTTGAGCATATCTTTGTTTGGCCTTACTCCACGGCAAACTAGCAATCCAAGTAAAGATGCTTCTTTTGCAATCTAGCAGGCCCTGTGGGCCTGGAAGACAGCATCAAGGTATCTACACTTCTTGACCCTTTTGCCAAGGCAGCACTTAAGGCTCCTGGCTTCATCTGTTCTCTTCTAACATGTACTTTTCTTTACATTCTTATCTTTAGAATAGTTTTCATGTCCATTTTGTGATGTTATTTACTGACTATAATTTCTTCAGGCTCCATGAAATGTTTTCTGAGAATGTGTCATTTTGTGATAAATAAGACTTCATTTACTTCAGTTATAAAATGAGAGGATTGGAAATTCAGTCATAAATAGGCTTTTATGTAAACCATCTTCTGAACTTAAAAACTAGAGGGAATCCCATCATGTCACTGACCTGTCCATCACAGCGGTGTTGCTGCAAGCTGGGACACCACGTTTTATCCTGCGTGGATATGCGTGTCTCTAAATGTGTAGTGTCTCAGAGAAAGCCTCTTATTGTTGTTCTCATCAATGTTATCCTGCAGCTTTTCTCAATATTGAGCATCCACACAAAACAAATATTTCTTTCATGGGAAACAGGGTAAAAAATGAGAAAAGGACACTCTGTATCCAGGTAATATAGTTGGTTTAAAAATATTATCATCTTGGTGTATTTTTCAGCCATATTTGACTTAGGTTTTAGTTTCATGCCTGTGAATGGTGATTCAAACACCTGCATGCACACGCGCAGAAAGTATGTCTTGAATCCAACTTTTTTATCCTGACTAACCCACTCAGGATGATCACCACAGTGGATATCTTTTTTTTTTCTTGTTTTTTCTTTAATTTATTTAAATTATATTGACCAGTCACCACAGTATATAGTGGTTTTCTAATGAAGAAGAGGGAAGTCTTGATCTCTGTATTAATCCAAACTGCCTCCTCAAAGAACAACTATGAATGCTTTTTTACAGAATCTGCCTTCTAGTACAAGATGCCTGTGGAATGTTTGGTGAAGTACACTTGGAGTTCACCATGTTGAAGGCAAGACAGTTGGAAGGGAAGTGTTGCAGCCTGGTGGGAATGAAGGTTCTACAGAAAGCCACCAGAGGAAGGTGAGAATGTGCGACCAATTTGCTACAGTGCTTGGTTCTTTTTTATTAGTCTTTTCTCTCCAATTCTATTTTTTATTTATTTATTTAACTTTAGGTGCATACTATATCTGGCATTTCTCCCCATATTATGCCTCCCCACCCACCACTGTCTCTCCCCTACCCACCCTAACTGCCCCTAGTGTGTGATGCTTCTCTCCCTGTGTCCATGTGTTCTCGTTGTTCAACACCCACCTATGAGTGCGAACATGGTGTTTGGCTTTCTGTTCTTGTGTCAGTTTGCTGAGAATAATGGTTTCCAGATTCATCCAAGTCCCTACAAAGGACACAAACTCATTGTTTTTTATGGCTGCATAGTATTCCATGGTGTATACATACCACATTTACTTTGTCCAGTCTATCATTGATGGGCTGTATCATTGATGGGTTGGTTCCAGGTCTTTGCTATTGTACACAGGGCTGCAGTGAACACATGTGCATGTGTCTTTATGGTAGAATGATTTATAGTTCTTTGGATATATATCCAGTAATTGGACTGCTAGGTCAAATGCAATTTCTATTTCTAGATCCTTGAGAAATCGTCACACTGTCTTCCACAATGGTTGAACTACTTTACACTCCCACCAACTGTTGAAGAGTGTTCCTATTTCTCCACATCCTCTCCAGCATCTATTGTCTCCAGATTTTTTAATGATCACCATTCTAACTGGCATGAGATGGTATCTCAATGTGGTTTTGATTTGCATTTCTCTAATGACCAATGATGATGAATATTTTTTCATATGTTTGTTGGCCTCATATATGTCTTCTTTTGAAAAGTGTCTGTTCATATCCTTTGCCCACTTTTGAATGGGGTTGTTTTTTTTCCCTTGTATATCTGTTTTAGTTCTTTGTAGATTCTGGTTATTATCCCTTTGTCAGATGGGTAGATTGCAAAAATTTTTTCCCATTCTGTTGGTTGCCAATTTGCTCTGATGATGGTATCTTTGGCTGTACAGAGGCTCTGAATTTTAATTAGATCCAATCTGTCTCTCTTGGCTTTTATTGCCATTGCTTTTGGTGTTTTAGTCATGAAGTCCTCACCTATGCCTATGTCCTGGATGATTTTGCCTATGTTTCCTTCTAGTGTTTTTATGGTATTAGATTTTATGTTTAAATCTTTAATCCATCTGGAGTTAATTTTAGTGTTAAGGTGACAGCCTCTGACTTGCCAGTCAGATGCACTTTCTGGTGAAGCAGCACCCCTCCCCACCTCGGTCTGCCCTGAGTGGGCTTTGCTCTCCATCAGACCAGACCTGTTGAAATGTACCTGGTACCTTGGTTGGAGCTAGGAGATCTCTGGATTTCTGTGTCTCTCTCACTGGGAGTTGTGCGCTGGAATTGTATCTATTCAGCCATCTTGGATCGACTCCCCTCTAATTCTGTTTTTAAAGGTAATAAACCAGGATCCTGGAGTTTGCCTGTAAAACAAGACCAGAAGTTGAGTGGAACCTATAAAGTACCTTTAGAGGAAGAATTATGATTGACAACAAAAAAAATTAGGCAGATTTCATGATTCATAATTTTATTTAAAATAAGATTAAAATGTTATACATGTGTTTTAATTATGAAGATTTGTCTTTTGCGTGTTTTCCTCACTGTAACAATAAAGCATCTTTGGGTGGTAGATTGTATAAATGAAAATCAAATTTAGTGAAAAGACATTTTGTGAGCTTTAAGCAAAATTCTCAAGTTGTCATGTCTTTGCACTTTCCATAGTAAGCAAGCTTTGTTCCCTGCCAGGTTTAATGGCACCTCACCCTAAAATGTTGTTTTTGATAGGCAGAGGTGGAGTGTTACAAAGACCTGGCCTATCTGTGCCTGTTCTCTGGTAATAATCCTAATCCATGAATTAGGAGAAAAAAGAAACATTTTCTATGGAACTATCCAGTCATATAGTGAATTGAGGGTTTTCTCAATCTTCTGGTTACATTTCTTTCTTTAAATAGTGTGTTATTTTACCTCTCGTCGATGTTTTATTTAATTATAGTAACATCTGAGCTGTAACAGGATCTGAGGGGAAAAAATCCCGTTGAGTGTATGATATTCTGCTTTTGGAGCATTTATTGATAGCATCTGCCAGGAGTTTGCATCATAACCACTCTGACTGTGGCCATTCTAAATGGTGAATGTTTAGTGAGCGTTTCTTTGACTGACCTCAGTAGGCATTTAGCTATCCCACAGGCCTTGACTTTGAGCGCTGTCTGTCTTTCCTGTGGCACCATACTGGTGAATGTCAGCTCTTCCTAAGAGCTTATTTTCCTGGGAGACATATATTTCATAGACATATCCCCTGTAAGCCCTGAGAAGATAAAAGCACATTTTTATCAATTTGTATAACTATGGTTTTTTGTTTTGTTTTGTTTTGAGATGGAGTTTTGCTCTTGTTGCCCAGGCTGGAGTGCAATAGTGCAATCTCAGCTCACTGCAACCTCCACCTTTTGGGTTCAAGCAGTTCTCCTGCCTCAGCCTTCCAGGTAGCTGGGATTACAGGTATGCACCACCACACCCGGCCATTTTTTTGTATTTAGTAGAGATGGGGTTTCACCATGTTGATCAGGCTGGTCTCCAACTCCTGAACTCAGGTGATCCACCCACCTCAGCCTCCCAAAGTGCTGGGATTACAGGCATGAGCCACCACATCCAGCCAGGTATGTTTGATAATAAATGCTTCCTCTTATTTATAAACAGGCAGCTGTATTATAACTTAATTGCATTATGTATTTGGGGAATGCTATTTGTCCAGATATTTGGAAAGCATGTCTAGATACGAGAAAAGCTTGATTGGGTCACATGAATCTTACCCTTAACACTGAACCTCATTTTAGTCCTCATTAGAATATTCATTGTAGGCCAGGTGTGGTGGTTCACCCTTATAATCCCAGCACTTTGAGAGGCTGAGGCAAGCCGATCACTTGAGGCCAGGAGTTTGAGACCAGCCTAGCCAACTTGGTGAAACCCCGTCTCTACTAAAAAAATACTAGCTGCCATGGTGGCACATGCCTATAGTCCCAGCTACTTAGCCTGAGGCACAAGAATTGCTTGAACCCTGGAGGCAGAGGTTGCAGTGAGCTGAGATTGCACCACTGCACTCTAGCCTGGGAGACAGAGTGAGACTCTGTCTCAAAAAGAAAAGAATATTCATTGTAAACGTTTCAGATTCACAGTCATCTGAGGACTACGCGTAGTTATGGTAACCATCAGTACTGTTTAACCATCAGTACCGTTTAGAGTGGGGCGCTCTTTGACTCGGCTCCCACCCACCTGAGCCTAGCAAGGATATGATGGGGCTCCCGCAACAGGATGTTCCAGCTGTCAGGCGTCCTGGTGTGCTCCAGGCCAGAGGCAGCTGTCCTGGCTGGAGACTGCAGGACATAGCATCTTATGGAAATACTACTGGGGAAGGACACAGCCAGACAGGACCCAGGAATCTTTGACTCTAAAGTTCCGTTTTTTTCACCATTCTTCTTTATAGCCATACATGTATCTAACATTTAACCTAGTTTTTGTGACTGTCACTAGAAGCCTAACCACCATCTATAACATTTACATGGGAAATGTTTTTTTCCATGGGAAATGCATTGCGTATTCCAGCCAGTTCATTTACTGATAAACGTTTGAACCTCCTTCCATGTTGACATTGGTGACTAAATATTTGATGCTTTTTTAGATTGGGATTAATTTCTTTATTTTATGTATTTATTTTTATTTTGCCATGCAAACATCCAAATAAATGTTTAGATTGTGTTTTTGTTCTTTTGGAAGCTATATCTCTTCAAAACAAATTATTAAATCGTTTTGGAATGCAGAATGTTATAATTGCCTGTTAGTGACATCATCCGTCCATCCATCCATGGCCCAGTAAACACAACATTGTGTCTCTTTTTTTTTCCTTTTTTTATGAATTATCATGTTTCATAGCAACTCTTGTAAACTTTAACAAAATACACTTCTCATAAACCTTAACAAAATATGCTTACTTCCCAAAATTCAAGCTAAAATGATTAATTTTATAATTTCAGTATCTAAGACAGAAAATACCCTTTTCCCAGTTGGAAGATAGTTGTATGTTTGAGCTAAGTCACACAGCCTTTTAGATTTAGCCTACCGATTTCATCTGATCCACAGTTCTGGTGATGGAACATCACTCAGCCCTACCTGCTATTGAAAGGCCGTGTTGCAGGGGACTCATGACCAGAGCCACCAGCTATCAGCCAGATACACCTATACAGGGAGCACCATTCCTGCCACCTGCTTTGATCCAGAGGCTTGCAGGAAAACAGTGACATAGCTTTTGTTTCTCTGACAGACTAATTTTTCGGATTTGAATGTCTGTCAACTGATCAGAGGAAGAAGAATTAAAAAAACAGCCTGAGCATCAGTTTGAAAACTGTACAGTTCTCACAACAGTGCCAGTGTGATGTATGCTTACTGCAGGACGTGCAGCGCGGCCTGTGCTTCCTTCCTCTCCGGGGCACTCCTGCTATTTCTTCCTCCGTGACTCTGTGCTACGGCACCCCAACCTCTGTCCTCCCAAGTGGTCTGTGGGGCACTTTAGTAGGCCAAACAAGCTGAGAAGTCACATGGCTTTGGTGTCATAATTCTGTATGCGAACTTTATTTTTTTTATTGCTGTTTATTATATGCTTTCATTTTTATTTGCCAGGGCAATACTCAGAAAAAAAAAAAGAAATTCCCTGAAATATGTTAACCTATTATAGGTATGGAAACTATAGCTAGCAAATTATTTTAAGAGGAATGGGGAAAGGGGACCTCTTTCAGTTCAAAAATCTACTGGAACTTATTTCCCAACTTGTTAAAACAACCACTGAGTCCAAAATGTATTATTAATTAATTTATTCATTTATTTTAAAGAAAAACCACACTCAGCCTTTGCCCTAGCAGAAGGGTATACAGAATGACCCACTGTATTTAATTTTCTTTTTTTAACTAAGGAAAATAGTT